GGGCATGAGGGATCCCGGAGTCTAATATTTTCTATGGGGCGGATTCGGGCAGGACCCCGGCCGCTGCCATCCCTAAATTAAAACGCTCCTCATTGTGCTACTGAACCGTTCTGCAATTATAATTGGTAGTTAGAATTTTCAATTTTGATAGAACATCAAGCCATCATGCATACGACTTGAGTATTGATTCCGGATTTTAACTAAAACTTCAAACTGTTATGGAACTTTGATTCTTCTATAATTTGTCATTTTTGTTTTGTTTTATTTTTATTTTATTTTTATTTTATCTTGATTTTCAATTATATTTTATTATTAATTATAAATTTACATGCTTATTTCTAAAAATGCTGAATTTTCCACTCATCACTTATGGTTTATTCTTTTATAATTTTAAATTGAAATTAACAATATTCACTTTATTATTTCAATTAAAATACACTATTTTTTTTATATAAAATGTTATATTAAAATACTATTTAGAACATCAATCACATTTTTTTTGTTATCTTTATTGTTATTTCTAGTTATTATCCAAAATTTGAAATTTAAAATTTTAAAAATTTAAATTTATCAATGATTATTTATACAAATACAATTCAAAATTATTTCAAATTATCACATTCACCTACATATTTTTCAATTATAATTTTTTCATATTAATTTTTCCTTACCAGCTTTTCAATAAAATGGTTAGAAACGAAAATTGTTCCGACAATTTATTAATCTAAATTCATTTTAATTATTCAAGTTTTCTAATGTCACTAATCTCACAAATTCCAATAATTTTAATATTTCAAAATAATAATAAAAATTATCTAAATTAATATTTTAAATTTAAATATAATATTATATAATACATAATATTTATATACTATTAGACAATAAAAATAAATTATTATTATTATAAATTTTATAAAATTGTAAAGATAATATAGTGAATGTGATAATGCTATAACGATATTAAAAGAATAATTTAAGAGTTATATGTATATGATGTAAATAAGGGAAATAAATAAAAATAAAAAAATAATGCAGTGAAAACACTAACTATAACATATCTATTACACAAGACTCAAATTTAAAAATCTTATTTCAAAATAATTTTAAATCACAACAAAATAAATTACAAATAGTATATCTTTATTCTAATAACTTCATATGTAAAGTAATACAATTTTCGTCCCGCTCCAAGGATCCTATTCGTTTTTTGTGTGTTGATATTTGAATATTGATTATTATATCAAAACGTAATACAAAATAAAAAAAAATTGCAAAAAACCTTCTGTTACTGTCTTATAATAGATAATAGATGGACGTTTGTATATAAAAAGAAATAATAAAATAAAAATATATAAATATAAAAATATTTTTAATGTTAAATACAAGCATACGGATGAATGGTATTCCCAAAACAGCTTCTACTTGCAAGAACAATTTTTTTTTTTTTTTTTTTTTATCTTATTTGCCATATATAAATTCTATGATGTAATTTGTCTTGCCCATTTAATTTGAAACTATTAAAACACACTTGAAAAGTAACGGTTGCGAATTCTAATCTCATAAAAATTACGCACAAGTAACAAAATTTAAAATGCAAAACCTATCAGAATCCACAATAAAAACAAACCCTCAGTGTCACATGCACTACAAGAAAAAATCATTTTTGTAACAAAATTTTTTTTTTGTCTCTAAATCTATTTTTTCCGTTACTAATGACATTAGAGACGGAATTAGTAATGGAATTACGTTAGCTACGTGAACTTTAGGGACGGAATTCCGTTACAAATATATTATTTTTTTGTAGTGATGTTTACAAGCAGCTGATTCAAGATTTGGAGATGGACATAATATTTATACTTCTCTGCTATTGCCACAACAAAGCAGCCCTTGGTGGTGAGATTTGATTTTCGATTCTACTATTTCAATTCTTTTTCTCCTAAAAAAACATCAAATCAAATACCTATTTTTTATTTATTATATTATACTAAAATTAACTTTTCACGTCAATACATATTTACATTACATCAAAAAACTATTTCAATTCAAAATTTTAGTATTCAAAACTAAAACTCAAAATCAAAACCTAAACACACTCTTATAAGAAGATCATACCACGGAGCAAGCAAGCAAGCATGTATTCCAACACAAGGATTTGAAATAAGAAGAGGAGTGGCTTCTTGAAATCATCATAATATTTCTACCATCCATGCATTATTAGATGAAATATATACATATTATATATATATATACATATATGGCCTATATGGCCCTGTCAAAAAAATAAAAATGAAAAATTATAAGCATTCTTCTCCAATAACTTTAGAAAAAGGGAAAACATCAGAGTGCAAAACAAGTCCACAGAACAATACAGAGTTATTGCAGAAATGAGGGCAGCAACCTCTTCAAAATATAAAGTAAAAATCTGAGCACACAAATAGCTTAATGTTCAGTGTTTCTTCATCCGTGAATCAAAAAATGGCCATTCTCATGCCTAATTAATCCTACTACACATTCAAGCAAAATATTGTCCGCAACTGAAATTGGTAATCACCTTCAATAAAAGAAAAGGCGAAACTCCGTCACCTAAAAAGCATGCATTGCAGAGAGGATGATATTTTAGATAATGATAATACAAAATGAAACCCACAAACTGCCTTCCATACAAGCAATGGCCATTAAACATGCTGAAAAGTAGATCCAGAATAGATTACGTATGGTTACCTTTTCATGCTCGTGAGCAAATAGCCGAATACTAATGATCTTGTGGGCTTGTTTAAATATTACACCCATGCTGTTCAAAAAGAGCTATTGATGGACATTACAGAATTTTCATCACCAAAAATCATCAATCAAATGAGGACTCAACTACAATTTCTGTAACCGGTAAGTAGAGTAATGGGAGAACTTATTTCTAGTGCTAGAAATATAAGTTCAATAAAAAGGGTAGAATGTTTACTTGTAAACATTAGGAGGGGATGTACTAAGGCTCATGGAGAGCTTTCACACAAATAAAGCAATGGCCATTAAACATGCTGAAAACAAAGAAAACTGCGACTTAGATCTCCTCATGGATTGGTGTAATACCCCGTAAAATAATCGCCGGAAGTTTGCCGGAGTCGGACAAATTTCATTTTGGGCATGATTTATTTTGGTCTTTTAGTGTAATAAATTAAAAAGTTGGGTTTAAATTAGAAGTAAAAATTGAGTTTGGGCCAAAGTAGAATAAAATAATTAATAAAGGATTAAGTATATTATGTTAAATAAAAGAAAAAAAAAAAAAAAAGATCAGCAGCAGCAGCCATCACGCCGCCGCCGCCGCCGCCGCCAGCCCTTCTTCTTCCTTGCGATTCTTCTTCTCCAAAATTCTTCCTTTTGGTCTCTTCTCTTGAGATTAATTTTAGATAGATTGATATGTTCTAATCCCTAGACCTTGGTATCTTTTTCAAAATTATTGTCAAATGGATTTTCCTTAGGTTTTGCCAATTTCTTAGTTGATTATAATGTTTATGCAAAAATTATTATTGGATTCTAAATTAAAAATCATGAAATTTACGGGATGGGTTTGAAACCCTAGTTTTGCCCTAACCTAGTTATGATTTTTGGAAAAAGATTTACGATTATATTTAAATATTATGATCTTTGGAATTAGACCATGTCTATTGTGGTTGGCATGTTTTTCGAATATTTATTTGGCTAAATAAAGTGTGATTATGGCGAACTTGTTGGATCTAATATCCTACTTTTGCATGGTTAAATATTGACAATTGGAATATTTTGAGTTTAAAACACTCTTTTTGAAATTTGCCTAAGAGCATGTTGAGTATTTGATCAAATTGGTAATTGAAATTACCCGTTGAGTCCGATCAACTCGTCGATTGTTTGAATGATAAGGCATAGCCTTCCACCTCTGTGCCTTGCAAACACGTGAGGGTATACCAGTATTTTAGGATAACTAACTAACCTTGAACTAGATCCCGAATGGGCTAGGTCGAGGGATCGAGATGGCGGGTTCCCTTTTAGGGTGATTCCGAGGTGTCCGTCATTCACGATGGAAAGGTCTTTAGACCGTCATCCGTGATGGAGGAATTGATTGCGTACAATCCTCTATTGGTATGTTATATTGGAGACTAAAGGGTTGTGGGCCGTATGGCGCCCATCGCAAACTAATAATTAATTGATTTACGTGTACTTTGGATTTCGAACCCTTATGTACACATTGTGGAATTTCCTTTGAGGGTTATGACCCTATGTTTGTTATGTGAAATTATGGGACGTGTCATACGAAGTAACAAGGTTGGAAAACCGGGTCGAGCTGGCCCTGATTAAGGCCTAGTGGAGTTTTCTTCGTGATGTGCTCATCGCTATTATTTGAGAATGAAAATGAGGTATAAGAGAGGTGCTAAAAGACTCGTGTGTATGAGTTTCCCTTACGTGATATGTGTCATCTTATTCAAACTATCTTCTTCAAACGATTTTGTGGCATTATACCATAATAATTTATCTTCAATTAATTGCGCTTACTCAACCGTTGTGTTGACCCTCTTCTTACGATCCTTTTTGTAGGTGATCACGCTTCCGTTATGCGTAAGTGATGCATTCACGTCATATGATACATCGGGGGAAATGAGAACTACCTTACCTTCTAAAATGTTTTGAAATTCATTGATTGTGTTTAAAGACAAATGCATTTTGAACTATTTCCAATTTATGCTTTTAAATTGAACTTTATTTACTTAATTAATGAGCCGGTGCGCTTTAATTCTAAGTTTCTATTAGTTGTTGGTATTTATTATTTTAGCCTTAGCGCCACAACGTAGAACTCGTTGGTTGACGAACGAGCCTTCCGGTGTGGCGTGGCGGTGACGCTCCGGTTTGAGCCGGCCGGGGTGTTACAATTGGACTCGCAGAATTGGAGGGTCCGTTTGGAGATCTTGTCAGGAAAAGGTGACATCTGATTAGCAAAAAAATAGACAAAGATGGAATGCCATAACTAGATCATCATCCATGTTTTCGAATTTGAGCCCAAAACTACATGAAATAGTGAACATCTGTACACACCCTAATACATATTCTAGAAATAAACTTTACAAAATTAAAGGAAATTGGAATACGTTAAGCTCAAAGTTTTTCAACGCATATGACATACCATATTGCGGATCCAAATCACTGTCCCGTAATTCATACATACTTCGCAAATCAGCAAAACAAGAAAACAAGTCAACCAGTGACTCAACAGGCCTCCAATCTACATTGGCAGTGCAGTCAACTCATCCGGTGTCTGTTCAAAATTTTCATCACACGACTTAATAATTCAAAACTACAATTTACTGAAATGAATTACTTTCCTTTGTGTAACTGACAGTTCACTTGAGAAAAAGTATAAACGCATATTCCATACCTTAGCGAGAGAAAAGATGAAAATGCTGAACAGTTGATGAGAAATGATCGGGAAAGGACACTTGTAAAGGCAGCACGGGCGTATACAGTTGAACAGAAAAGCTCGTCACAGCAGACCACTGGTGAAATGTTCACGATGCCACAATGAACTAGCGAGTTCAGGGTCAATCTTGCGGTTAAGCAGCAGATCCAACTTACGACTATTATATATATATATATTCGATGCAGTGTTCTTAAAAAAAGTTTGAGCTAATCCATCTTTTAATATAAATATGAAAACCCAAGTTGAACTTTCAATTTACAAGTTATAGCTAAAGGGAACTTAGTTGAACTAATTCCAAGAAATGGAAGTAAATTTAAATGAAAGAAAAAAATTATTGTTACATATTTAAGTTACTCAATTAAAAATATAGAATATATATAACATAACGAGCTTAGTATGTGTATGGTATGGGGGTCCTTCACTCAAGCTACTCAACTCGCGCGAAGTTGTTACCATGAACAAAAGCAATGTTCCACGTTGACAATGAAATGTCTACTCTTAGGTTACATGGGGGTATCTATTCAAACTAAGGTTGTAAAGAAGGACGAGCATTGACCCTAAATTTTACAGCTTCTTTTTCTCGTTATGAACTAAAATCTAAAGCATGATAAATACCACTCTGTACAATGATAACTAACAGAGGCATACAAATACAAGTACAGACACGTGCATAACAGTTATCAAGAAAATTAAAATGTACAAGGGGTGAGTTAAGGTTGTGGAAAAATACCTCAACCCAAGGAACGCAATGCTAGTGGAAACTCACTCAACATTTGCGTAATCAGCAACTTAGTGTTGGAAGAGTTGATCTTCTGTTTCGTGTTTATAAATTCATATTGCTCAGGCTTAGGCTTTTTTTAACCATGTCTTGTAAAAGCTTCTTTGCTGTCTCGGCAGCCTTATCTGTTCCATCAACCTGTGCAGCAAAGTCATAGACAATCCTCTCCAGTTCGTAGGGTGTCAATCTCCGCTCTGGAGGTGGGTCCCGGAGCAGATCCAGGAGAGTCCGGGCCCGATCTCTGGCTGTAGCAGTGCCCTCACAAGTCAGCCTTAAAAGCCCTGGAATTGCACCTTCTTTGAGAATAAGATCCTGGTATTTATCACGGGAGCTTTGGCATAAAGACAGTAGAGCTCCCACTGCATGAGACATGCTAACAGATGATCCATCTTCTACCGTCTCAACTAAGCCTAAAATCCCACCCTCCACTCTTGTGATTGCGGCTCTTCCTTCTTCAGAATGGGAGAATATCTCAAGGAGGTATGTGGTTTTTTCAGCCAACTTGGAGTACTTCTTGCATTCTTTTAGGAGTTCGAAGAGGGGGAGTACAGCTTTAGTGTCAAGAACTGGTTTTGGTTCATCTTCTTCAGATGTTGAAAGGTAGTAAAGAGCAGTGACAGCATCTACGCGTCCTTGAATGCTTGCCGAGCAGAGGACTTGGATCAGTAGCAGCACAGCCCCAGATGCGGCAATTGTTGGCTTATTTGAGGGAGCAGATGATAATGACAGGATTGCAGCAGCTGCTAATTCACACAGATTTCCAGGTTGATGTTTGAGGAGTTCAACTAGAGATGGGACAGCGCCGGCTGTTACAATTCTGATCTTGTTTCTGTAACAAAAGAAAATTGATAGTGTAGATTAGAAATAAAAAGATCGTGCTTCCAGTTAAACTAACAAAAGAGCATGATATTACAGAAATAATATACCATGATTCTATTTTCAATATAGCAACAACACATTATTTTGAATCTAAAAGATAGACGGAAAATTTTGAAAAATATCAAACAACTCTTCAATGGTGAAGTATCGAATGTAGCAGCATGGGTCATTGGCAAAATTACATATTTACTTATAAGAAATTTCATTTCAAGTGTAGTTTCATTAGTACATACATATATATATATATAATTTTGGTTCCACAAGTACAGAAATTTATTGTTTTGAGGCCAAATAGAAGCAATTTCAGTTCCATGAGATTTTAATCCATCAAAATTCATGTTAAATAATTTGAGTTTACAAAGAGAACTTAATGCTGTATAATTGAATTATGTGTGATTAACATTATCACAAGTCGTCCTGAATATCTATCAACAATATAACGGACATCAATCTTCCCTGTGAAACAAAGTACACTAATTTGCCACAGATCAAGCAAAATAAACAAGCACGTAATTAAAAGAAACAGTACATGATAAATCATAAATGTAATATCTTCAATCTAATGGCATGTGAAATATCGATATGTGTGTTCATAATATTCTTGATTATATATATCAAGCCAAGGAAGAAAGAACTGTACATAAGAAATCAAATTGGTAAATGTTACTAGTTTTAAGTGCTAGGTTCGACCAATATGAGGTTGAAGACAAGTTATAAGGTGATTAAACAACTGAACATGATAGGATCAATAGAATGTAATCATGCAGTGAACATAATTCAACTAGAACCCTAAAGTCATCACCAAGGGCAATATGTCTTCCATTTCCTAACCTTTGTATTTGCATTTAAAACAGAAATATCTAAAACATTTGGTTTTGCTATCAGAGATAGCAGTATCTAGCTGATAATTTTGAAACATTGGTTGAAACCTGAATAGTACCGGTTATTTTTATAGATATTTTGGTACATAGATAAAATGGTTATTAACTTACTATTCAAGGATGTTTACTAAATCAGGGTATTATTATTTGTTTTTATCCCTTTTGTATCATGCCTGTAAATAAAATATAATTTTATTATTAATAACCAACTCAAAGTTTCTTCAAAATTCTAACATACTATCTACCTTTTCTTTAGCACTCCTCCAAAATCTGAGATTTTCAACCATGCTGCCTCTCAAATTTGAGATCCTCTACCATTTTGAAAAATATCAGAGCCACACCCAAAAGTATCGAACCAATTCTAATCACCTCCGTTTGTCAATTTCTTGACGTATCAGACCTACACCACCACCGTCACCATGTTCTTGACTGTAAGACAACATTGGCCAAAGGCCGTTGTCATAAGCAGTGGGTGTCAGGCATTGGTCAACTTGGTCAATGACCGGTCAATGCAATCAACATTTTTATTGCCACTAACTCTGGCACAGAGGCGCATCCTGCGTCCAATCACCAAAATTTTTGAGGGAAAGCATACTAAAAATAGTTTTGACATATCTGTCAAGTTAGTTTCTGGTTTGATCAAGTTTTGGTTTGATTTTCGATTAACTAACTAAGAGTCCTGAGGATTCAACTTCCTAGGGTTTAACGGCATTGCTGCAACATAAATTGTAATGTGACCAAATACCCTAAGAAATTTAGCACTATTGCTGCAACAAAAGATTGACATTGGCATTACTAACTTAATTTAGCCGAAACTCTAATTTCCTATGATTTAGCACAGCCGCCGCAACAAAGAATTTTCCACCACCAGAAATCCTAATTTGGCAAAACTCTAATTTCGCAAGGTTTAGCGCCGCTGCGACAGAAGATCACCACCACCCGCTGCAACAGAGGATCACCATCAGAACAAAAATCGATTTGAATGGTCTAAAGTTGATACTCAGTTATGTGCCTTATTGTGGAGTTCTATAGACCTTCCCATACTACCAACTTATCAATCATTCAAAATGTTCTATGAAGTTTGTCCAAATTCAGACTCGAACCGCCTTTAGTCTCTCTTGCAAAAGTCAAGTTACCATCTTAAGTTTGGGGGAAAGATTTAAATATATTTTAAATAGATATATTGGTTAATATTATTTACATTAGCTAGTTATTATTCAAGCATATTTAGTAGATTAGTTGTTATTATTCATGTTTAACCTTTTATACCATGTCTATAAACAGACTATACTTCTATTATTAATAAATAACTATCCTACTTAAAATAAAAAGAAAAATATAGCTCGGGCTGATTTTTAGAGTAGAATGCATTTTAAAAAACATTATCCAAAGTTAAGTTTGTGAAGAAAAAGAAGCAAAATTGTTGAAGTTCCATAGGCCCTTAGGACAAGCAACCATTACATAATGCACAAATTATGGGTCAAGAACTTTTACTCCATCAAACGAAAATTCTAACTTATAAAGAGAAAGTAGCAAATCATTCCTCAAAGTTATATATTCTTGGTATTTGTACTTTCCATGTGAAAGGAATATGTTCTAAAACATGAATTTAGTGAGTTGAAGAGGCACAAAATGGATCACCACGTAATACATTTTCCATATAATGGTGATCATAACAAATAATTCTAATTAAGGGACAAATGTAACTAAGTGATCAACTCAAGGGACCAAACATAGTTGTAAAAACTAAACTATCCATGGAGTAGCTATATGTAACACAAGAAACAATATTTCACTACATCTAGATCTTTCAATTGTCCTCCAGAAACATACTTAACATTCATTTTCATTGAAAACAACACATCGAACAACTATTTCAATTCAAAAACATCAAAATAAAAAACAGCAAGAGTAAAAAAAGAAAAAAAAAATTAAAAAAAAATAAAGGTAAACAAGCGTGGGGGAGTGTCACGCACAAAACTAAGACCATTAAAGGGGTCTGAGCAAGATATTGACCACAAAGTCTATATGAAATACCAAAATAACAAGAAATACAATTTGGATGAGCAAAATTGCATTTTTCGAATTAAAACATCCTGTCATAAACTATTTTTTTATTTAAATAATCAAATTCAAAACACCAACAAACTCAAGCTTCTTCGTGAGCATTTGTGAAAATGTCGAATAACACTAACAAGTAAGAATATAGCAGTCTGGAAGCCATCTATCTACAAAAATCAGTAGCACAAAACTCAAAACCCTGATTTCACACAAAAGAGTATACGGAGAATCATCTAACAACCAAAATAAAAATTCATAGGCAAAATACTTTAAATCAGTAGAAAGAGAGTGAAAGGTGATACTTCTGATTGCGGGCAGCGAGATTGAGCAGCGCGAGGAGCGCCACCTCCCGAGCAGCGGTGGGGAACGAGCCATGGAGCATTGAAACAAGCGGCTCAATAACTCCGGCAGCGGCGAGGCGGCGGCGCACGGCGGATTTGGAATTGTTGGAAGACTTCCTGACCAGCGTCCTCACGTCTCTCGCCGCATTAATTCGCGCGGCCAGATCTCCAGCCTTGAGCCTCATGGCTACCTCCTCCACCACCATTTTCCGACTCCACGGATGCTGAAACGGCGGGCCGTCCTTGCCATTACTCTCGCTTTCTTCGTCCTCTTCTCCGTCTTCCGGAATCTTCAGCATTGTTTCCTCGTCGTCGTCGGCCTCCACATCGCGCTCCATAGCCATGGCCGCGGAGGAATTGCTCCCTCGAAGAACTGCCAGCATAGCTGCGAATACGGGGACGATTTTGGATCCTCTTTGGAGAAAAGCGGTTGTGCACGCTGTGCATAATATGTTGTACGAGGTCTTGTAATGGGCACTCTGGAGATATTTTCTTTTCAGTCCCTAAGGTTGGCATCAATGTTATTTCGGTCCTCTGTAATTTTTTACCAAAAAAAAAAAAAAAAACACCTCTTTCGAGGAGTTTTGAGAGCCTTTTAGAACAAATACAATTACTTACGTGGGTCTAATGCGTCGTTTGGCCGGTTGACTCCTATATGTATTATTTTTTTTGGGCCCAATTTTTATGCTTTAAATCAATTAAGAATACAAAGATCGCCGACGAGCTGCCACTCGCGCAACAGACTTTGCACCTTCAGAAAATTGATGATTCTTGTCTCGTTAACCGTTGAATCGGGTGAAATTCGAACACAAGGTTCGTAACACTCTGTTCTTGGTATTTACGGGTTGGTTTGAGGTTTATACCTCGAGTTATTCGAGTAAGACGGTAGCAGTTATTCTGGGGGAAGAATTTGGTCGTTTCTAGTTGTTTTGTGTTATTGCTTTATTGATTGGTTTGAGATTGTCGGTGCACTGTTTTGTGCTACTGCTTGGAACACTTTTGTACCCGGATTTGATTATAGTGAAGCCGTTTCATTGGTCTAGACAACCCATGGTTTTTCCCTTCGATTTGAAGAGTTCTCCACGTTAAAATTTATGTGTCTCTTGTGTTGTAGAATTTCTATTTTATTCGTTATTATTTCTCTTAGTTGATTATTGCAATGTTGGATTGGTTTAGTCCTATTAGAGTAGTATCAGAGCTCGGTTGAATTGCGGTGTTATTTACTTGCTTGAATGATTGAGGCTAATACGAATAGAATGATTAGTTTGAATGAAACTAATTATCATTTGTGGAAGGGGAAGATGAAATACTTATTGTTTGTTAAAAGTATGCATCTACCTGTCTTTGCTTCGCAGAAGCCTGAAAAAATGCCCGAGGAAAATGACAATGTCTATAACCACATTGTTAATCAGACACATGCTATAATATTGTGGGAGAAGATTAAATCTCTGTATGCTTCCAAGTGAAATAACAAATTATATTTGTTAAATCGGTTTCTAAATTTGAGGTATCAAGAAGGTTTTCGATCTTGTACCATCTTAATAAATTTCAAGGGCTTCTTGATCAAATGTGAGGAATGGGAATTAAGTTTGATGATGAACTTCTGGGGCTTCTTCTTCTATTTACTCTACCTAATTCTTGGGAAATATTTCGGGTTTCTATTATTAGTTCTGCTTCTTATGGCATGTATCATTGGAAGTGGCAAATAGTGGTATGCTTAATGAATAGATGAGAAGGAAGGCACAAGGATCTTCGCCTCATTCAGAGGTTTCTTTACTGAAAGTAGGGGGAGAACTCAGAAGAAAGAGTCGGGCAATAGAGAGAAAAGCAGGAGCAAGTCTCAGTCTAAGTACAAAAATATAGAGTTTCATTACTGCCACAAGACCGGTCATATCCAGAAGAACTGTCTATTGTGCAAAAGAGAAATGAAAAACAAATAGGAAAAACAAAAATAAAAAGATCCAGAAAGTGATAATCCTGTTACCACTACGACACGTAATAATTTCATTGTTCTTTATGATACTGAAGTTATTAATCATGTGTCCGATGTAAGCTCGTAGATCGTTGATAGTGGTGTTATCTTACATGTTATACCAATGAAGAAATTCTTCACATCCTACACTTCTAGTGACTTAGAATATTATGGATGGGCAATGATAGTGCTTCAAAGGTAGTAGACATTGGCGATGTATGTTTGATGACTAATATAGGCATGAAATTGTTACAAAAAGGTGTTTGACATGCTCCTGATCTCCGTTTCAATTTAATATTAGTTCCTATGCTTGATATGTTGGTTATGACAATCATTTCTATGATAGAAATTGTAAGCTTGTTAAAAGAAATCTGGTTGTGGCTAAAGCAGATAAAATATCTAAAATGTATTGAACAAAAGCTTTGCTTGCTAGAGATATGTACATGCCATGGATATGGATGCTTCCAATTTATGGTATCAGAGACTTAGTCATATTAGTGAAAAAGGGGCTAAAGTGTTTGGTTAAATGAAAGTGCTTCCAGGTTTGAAGAATGCAAAGTTCGAAAAGTGTTCTCATTGTATAGCTAGTAAACAAACCAGGGTATCATTCAAGAAGTACTATCCATCAAGGAAGCCAAAGTAGTTGGAATTGGTGCATTATGATATTTGTGGCTCATTGAAGGTAAAATCTTTTGGTGGAGATTTCTAACTTTAATTGATGATTGTTCCGGAAAGCTTTGGGTCTCTACTTTGAAGACTAAAGACCAGACAATTGAGAAGTTTAAAGAATTTTAGAATTTGGTTGAACGGAAATCTGGCAGGAAGTTGAAATGTGTACGTACAAACAACGGTGGCGAGTATTGTGAGCCATTCGATGTTTATTGTAAGTAGCAGGGTATCAGACATGAAAAGACACCCCCAAAGACTCCTCAGCTGAATGGTTTAGCCGAAAGGATGAATAAAACGTTTATTGAAATAGTTAGATGCTTGCTTACTGAAGCGAAATTGCCAAATCATTTCAGGGGTGAGGCATTGCACACAATTGTGCATATTATTAATTTGAGTCTAGAGGTTGCTTTAAATACTGAGGTTCTAAATAAAATTTGGTTTGGTAACTCTGTCAAGTATGATCATCTGCGAGTCTTCGGTTGCAAAGCATTTATGCATATTCCAAATAATGAAAGGTCCAACTTGGATGCGAAGACTAGGCAGTGTATCTTTATCGGTTATAGACAAGACAAATTTGACTACAAGTTTTATGATCTTGTTGAGAAAAATCTTGTCAGAAGTCGTGATGTGGAGTTTATGGAAGACCAAAACATTGAAAATATTGACAACATGAAAAAGGATGCACCAAGAAAGATACTATTTTGACTGACTCTGATCCAGTGCAATTGCCTAATCACGGCCAAGATGGTACGAAACATGGAGTTCAAAATGATGAACACACTGAGGATGAATTGAATGTTCTTGATCATGCCGAAGAAGAAGATGCGATGTCAAAATATGAAAAACTTGAATTGGATCGCCCCGAGTCATTGCAAGCTCCACTTAGATAGTCTTCACGACAGAAACTACCATCTGGAGGTATCCATCTAATGAATATGTTACTTTAATTGATGCGGATGAACCTGAGTGCTATTTAGAGGCAATTGAAAGTGAAGAAAAACAAAAGTGGTTGGATGTGATGCACGATGAAATGAAATCTTTGCATGATAATCACACTTTTGACTTGGTGAAACTGCCCGATGGAAAGAAGGCCTTGGAAAACAGATGGATTTTCAGAAAAAAAAAAAAAAAAAAAAAACATGAGAATCATTCTTCATCGCTTAGATACAAAGCCACACTAGTGGTGAAAAGCTTTAGACAGAGGAAAGACATTGATTTTAGTGACATATTATCTCCGGTAGTGAAAATGTCATCTATCAAGATAGTGTTGAGTCTCGCTGCTACTCTTGATTTGGAGGTTGAGCAGATAAATGTAAAAATTGCTTTTCTGGATGGGGATCTTGAAGAAAAGATATATATGAAGCAGTCGGATGGTTTTCTAGTTAAAAGCAATGAAGACTTTGTCTGTAGGCTTTGAAAGAGCCTGCATGGTTTGAGACAAGCTCCAAGAAACTAGTATAAGAAGTTTGAGTCTCATATGTGAACATGGCTACAAGAGACTGTTTTTGACTATTGTGTCTTTTTTAGAAAATTCTCTAACGATGACTTCATTATTCTATTGTTGTATGTTGATGACATGCTTATTGGAAAAGATGTTTCCAAAATTGACAGGTTGAAAAAACAGATTCTTTGTATAAGAATCACTAGTGACAAAAAAGAGAGAAAACTTTGGTTGTCATAGAAACACTACATCAAGAAGGTTTTGTAGAGATTTCGAATGGAAGATGTTAATGGTGTGAGTACTCCTCTTCCTTCTCATATTATGCTAAGTGTTGAACAAAATCCCTCTAAATGAAAATGAGAAATCTGATATGACGCGAGTTTCTTATGCATCTGTTTTGGGAAGTTTAATGTATCCGATGGTGTGCACAAGACCAGATCTAGCACATGCCATTGGTACAGTCAACAAATTTCTATATAATCCTAACAAAGAACATTAGATACAGTGAAATGGATATTTAGATATCTTTGTGATAAAAGTAGTTTGAAACTTTGTTTTCGAGAAAATAGGCCTATTCTTGTGGGATATACAGATTCAAACATGGCTGGAGATATTGATTCCAGAAAATCCACTTCAAGCTATTTGGTCACGTTTGCAGGGGGATCTGTGGCATGACTATCTAAATTACAGAAGTGTGTTGCACTGTCGACTACTGAGATAGAGTTCATTAATATCAATGAAGAAAGTAAGGAGTTGCTTTGGGTAAAGAAATTCTTGCATGAACTTGGTTTCGTTCAAGAAAAGTACGTTCTATTTTGTGATAGTCAAAGCATCATTCATCTCGGTAAAAATCCTACAATTCATTCTAGATCCAAGCATATTGACGTGAGGTATCATTGGATACACGATGTCTTGGATGCTAAGGCATTGAAATTGGCTAAAAATCATACTGATGAAAATGGCATTGATATGATGATGAAGCCATTGCCGAGGTTGAACTTTGATTTTCTTTGCCAAATCAACGGTTTGGCGATTACCTCCACATAGTCGAGAGGGAAAGATTTGTTGGGCCGGTTCACTCCTATATACACTATTTTTTTGGCCCAATTTTTAAGCCCACTTGTAAATCATGTTAGGTTGAAGGGTGCAACACAACATACCATGCCCTAGATCAATTCATAACACAAAAATCGCCAATGAGTCACCACTCCCGCAACACACTGTGCAGCTTCGAAAAATTGACGATTCCCGCCTCATTAATCGTTGGATCAGGGTAAAAGTTGAACATAAGGTTTTTAACACTCTGTTTTTAGTTTTTACCAGTTGGATCGTTGTTTGGAGGTCTGTACCTCGAGTTATTTAAGGCA